GGCACACATACACACACGTCCCATGTGATTTTTAAGCTACCAGGTCTGGGACTCAAACCATGGTTGACTACATGGGAGTCCAGCGACATAGCCATTACACTAACTGCTGGTCCCTCTTCACTTAGGATTTTGGGCACACATACACACACGTCCCATGTGATTTTTAAGCTACCAGGTCTGGGACTCAAGCCATGGTTGGCCATGTGAGTCCAGTGTCTTAAGCTGGTCCCAGTACAAAGTAATTCTAGGAAGCCATCTCTAAACTGTCTCTTAATCTCTCCGGCTATGGTCTATGGAAAAACACCTGTGGGTGCTATTATTTATGTCCCTGAAATATTCATGTGTTGATATTTGATTGTGAAAGTATTAAGAGATGTAATACCTTTGTGGTACTGAAAGGTGGAGCCTCTGAGAGTGATTAAGTGATTAGAGTAGAGCCTCTATGATGAACTCCCAGTGGATTTGTAAGAAGAAAGAAAAGACCAGAAAACACACTTGGATGGATGGACACACACTTGTGCTCCTGTTCCCTCGTGATGTGACATTCTCCCTGCTGGCCTTGGGACCCCACCAATAGGAAAACTCTTACCTGGTACTACGCTGTGTATCCCCTCTAATAATCTGGTGTTGATGTATTTCCACCTTTAGCCAATTTGGGAAAAGAGAAGGACAGAGTCCTCTCTCAGGATCTAGCACACCTTGTCAAGAAAAACTGTGAAAGACTTTTTTTTTTCCAATTTTAGAACTTTTTTTACTAAAAAAAATAAATAAATAAAATAAAAATCCCTGGTGGTACACTTTTCTCCCACCCTGCAAATCCACTTGTTTATGATTTGCTTTTATTCTATTTTATATAAGTGGAATAATGGTGATAACAAAAAAGAAAAAGCAAATAGGATTTTTTTCTTAAATTGCTTGTTTTGTTCATTTTTGAACTCTGAATTTTGATTTATGAGTTTGACATGTTAATATATCTTTTGCCTTAAAATCAAGCAGATAATTGTAATACAGTATTTTTTACTCATAACCAAAATAACCTCTTTAAAAGACTTGTTTTTTTTCCTTATAATTTTGTATAATTTTGTTTGTGACTCTATAACAACAGAAACAGTATGGTTTTAAATATTTTTGAGAAAATATTTACATGTCAACTACTAAAATTGTTGAAAAGCAAATACCCAGCACACTAGACACACATAAACCTTCTCAATTCAGCCCCACCCAAGTGTATTCTGTGATATACCATCTGCTAGCAAAGATCAGTCTCTTTTTCTTC